GAAACTATTACTTTTCTTTTATAAAGAATTTATTATGATCTACTTATTTTACATATTTACAACAACTTTAAAAATTATATTATACAAGTTTCTTGATTAACAAATTTTAAACATCAAATATATAATAAGTTTAACTTATACTGCTTAGTTCTTGCTTATATAGTCATCCCTTCATATAGTCACCTCCTATATAATTACATTATATGTAATTACATTTACATTTAGACTAAGCTATGATTTAATTTATAAGAAATAGCCTTTTATATAAGCACAACTCCTTTATCAGTGCATTTTTTAAAAAAATTACTATGTACCCAACTGTGTAATTATATGAGAGGATGACTGTATAAATATTACTTTTTAAATTGTATTCTTATAACAAAAACTATTACAAATCTTTTCTACAACTAAATTATTTTTTAATATAGCTAATATACAAATTAACTTTTCTAAATTTGTACTTACAACTAATATAAAACAAATTAACTATACTTCTATTATATACAACAAACATCTTTTTAAGCTTTATTTATTAAATAAACTATTTAAATTCTTTAAATGCTAGTTTATACTTAACAATAAACTAACTAAACAAACAAAACTTATTATAGCAGAATTATCACATCTTATCAAAATTGCAAGCACCAAACAAATTACTGACATATATGCACATTATATTATTAATCTTTACAATAGAATATTACCTTTATAATATTGTTTTTAATTAAAATATATGCAACAAAATTTTTATAAATCATGTAGTGCTTGTAAAAAACAAAGCTAAATATAATTACACAATCTTTATTAGCATATTATTTTACTTTTAGTTATATAATATTTATAACATATAGAATTTTATTTTTATTTTTTTTTTTATTAAGGTGACCTCTTTGGTCTTTTGACTTTTATTAATCACTTATCAGTATTGTAGTTTAATGAACTACTATAGAAGAAAGTACAATTGGCTATATATGTAACTTTTCTATATTACCTATTTAAGAAGTTTGCTTGAAGGTTCTTTACCAATTGTCATACTTAACACCTCTGCTTGGGTGTTCTACTTTAAACCCTCTAGATCTGTAACCTGTATTAACTCACTAGATCATACTCAAATGCCCAAATGCCCAGATCATCATCTTAATCTTAGAACTAATTTATCCTCAAGGTAAACCTCTTAGAGCCTTCTGTACCTATTTTTACAGCTAACCTAGGTATCGCTATAGCAGAACCAACACTTGCGATCAGGACTAACCATTAAACTGCTATGCTCTTGTAGAGTTCACTTAGACCTCAGCATCTACTTCATAGCATAACTCCAGTACTTTAGTATACTTCTGCCTTTTATCTGTCTTTTTACTAAACTCCTAATTCAGATAACCTATATAAGACTATAACCAGTCTATTAGTATATCAGGTCAGCCCAATATTCTTTTCCTCTGGTTTGTTCAGCAGCCTGGTTAGTAGTACCTTCGAGACTTCCAACCTAAAGGTTTTTGCCTGTCTGGCTACTATGACCAGATACTATAACCTTGGTATCTATTTTTCTAGACTAGCCTTTACAGTAGAGCCATCAAAGATCCAGCTACTTCTCTACTCAGGTCTTCTCAAATAGACTTCTTGTTACCTAATTCTAATAGATTTACATAGCCACAAGGATTTATCTAATGTTTGCACTATCTAATTTTGTCAGTTTGCATTTCTCTATATAATAACATATTTATACAGATGCTCCATGACCTGCCAGTTATGCTGGTGTGACCACCATTACAGGTACCCTAACCTAATCATTAGTAACAATTGCTATAATATGAATATTACATAGTTGATTATTTAAATTTTCACTATCAATAGGATTTGAATACCCAACTTACCACTTGGAAGGTTGACAAACTGACCACTTCACTAAGTCACCACACCTCTTGTATGGGTTATAGTTTATTGAACTCAATTTCTAAAAAGTTTTTAGAAATTGAGTCTGCTAAACTTTAAACTACAAAATCTTTTTTTAAATATTTCATATTCAAACTCAAATTTGTTTATGAACTTTAAACCGAATCTAGACTAAATTTATTATAGTGTTTGAGTCTAGTTAGATTTAGGAATTACAAGTTTAAGTTCAGGTTCATGTCTGAAATTAGTAAAAATTACTGTTTGAGTACAGTTTGAGTTTAGGTTCAACCTAAATTGAACTGAACCTGAACTGAACATAAGGGCTTTATTTTCAAATAACTGGCTTACTAGTTTTTTAAATTATTATGATTTATCAAATCATCATCAAATAACTATTATACAAAAATTGCCTAAAGATTTTAAAATACAAAAGTAAAACTTTCTTAATTATATTTTAAATTTGTATATACAATATAATTATTCTTTATATCTAATTAAAAATATTGATAAAACCTCTTTTATCTTTGATTTACCAAATCTAATAACAATTAGAAAACATAAAACAAGTACTGTTAGTATTTGTATTACAGACTATAAAAAAAAAGTTTTATCATCATTCTTACATGCTTAACTAATGAAACAAAATTATCTTCAGTCTATATATTCAAAAAAAAAACTATTCCATAAAAAAACTTTTCTGCTAATGTATTTATTCATATAAATGAAAAAGGCTAAGCTACTGAAATAAAAATGCAATGATGAATTGAAAATGTTTGGATTAGAAAGGCATCAGATAATTCAAATTCTCTTTTAATTCTTGATTCATTTTGTGAACATAAAGTTGATTCAGTTAAGCTTCAATTTTCCTTTTGCAATACAGACCTAGCTGTAATTCCTGACAGATTAACATCTAAATTACAACTATTAGATGTTAGTATTAATAAAAGTTTTAAAAAAAGAAGTTCATATACTTTATAATCATTAGATGTCAGAGACTATCCATGAATTAACTCCGGCAGGACATATTAAATGACCACTATATTCACTTCTTGCTAAATGGGTAGGAATTGTATAGGATTCACTTGATCTAAATTTAATTAGATGTTCATTTAGTTGCGAAATTTGATAGGTTATAAAAGAATTTTTTTTTAAATAACGCTTTCAATAGTATAGACTTTTTTTTTTTTTAAAAAAAAAAAAATATATATATCGATGTGTATTATGGTAATGGTAAAATAGACTTAAAAATTTATACTAGGGGGGTACTTTAGACCGCAAAATACTGGGGTTTACGATATACTAATTAATCAAATCTATATCAGGTATAATAGTAAAAATTGATAGTACAGATTTTTTCAATAATACCATTGCTATTTAGTTAATAAAAATTGTGCGCAGGGTGCCTCTTATTACTTATCGAATAGGATTGCAAGGTCTGTGTGTAACAAAGAAATTTTTCTGATTAAATTGATTATCGCTGTTATAAAATAAATTTTGTTGCAAAACCTGACAAAAGATGAACCTCTAGTGAAAGTCGAAACTCTCAGTGAAAGGCAAACTACTGGTGAAGGTCAAAGCTTTTATTAAAGTCTGAATTCTCTCAGTCTTCAAATTTTATTTGAGTCCACTTATTTATAACCATGATTTAATTTTAATTAAACCTCGTTAAAAGAACACTGATTTATATAGATTGAGAAGTAGAAGTATTGACTTTATAATTATAAATATTTACATTGATATTAATGAACATTATAAAAAATTATTTTAGAAAATTAGCAGTGTGTAAATAATTCCTTAAAAAGATCATCAGCAACCTGCTCATTTCGTCTATCTGACTGAAAAAGAAAAGTGGTAGAATTTTGTTTGTAAATTATTCTATTTTCATTTCGAATTTCTTTTAGTTGTTTATGATCGAATTGATATTCTTTTATTCTAGTTGCTGAAAGACGCATCCTGGACTGTTGAGTGTTATTAGTCATATTTGGATAAGTTTTTAAGTCCCATTTGTTAAATAAGCCCTCTATCTGTTGTTGATAAACGATAATATACCAGATTTTGTTTTTAACAAAATCGTAGAGTTGTGAATATTGATGTAGGTAAGCATTTGATTCTCTAACAAATGCATTGAATTCTTGAAAAAAGGATTCGTCAGATAGAGCAGCTTTAAACCCAAAATCATCAAACCAGTTTTGTTTTATGTCTGTTTCAAGAAATCATGCATAACTAATTTCTTTTAAAGTAGGAAACCTGAGCCAGGGTTTTTCAAACATGATGTACTAATAACTGCACGCAAATTGTTATGCATAATCTCTGCCAAGACAACACATACTTAAAGGAAGATGGAGCCAGCAAGTTAACCATTTTTGGTGTAGTTCAAGCCTTTTCTGTACTCCAGTTTCCAATTTTTGAACTAACGATTCAATTTTTGAATTATCTAAAATTTCTGCACTTTGTAAAAGTTTATTACCAAAAAATGAATAAAGATTTTTCACAATGTTTACGAGCTTACATGTTGAATTAGTGATGAAATCTGACATTTGATGTGCATGATGACCTGGAGGCAAGCATCATAATGAATTATCAGGCTGCAAAACCTTTAATTGAGGATCGTAACCGACAAGGAATTCTGAAAACGGATGGTAAAATTCTTGTCCGAATTTAACTAAACATTGAACCTCAATATTTAATTCGAAATCATTTAGCCAATCTTGAAATAGTTCCCACTTTTGAATATAAGATTTTGAAACTTTTTTTAAAGTTTTAAGTTTTGGAAGGAACCATAAAACGAATTTGATATGAATTTCATGTCTCTCAAGGTATTGTTCTGCCGTAATTAATTCATATTGCCATCATGACCATAGGGGATATTGATATTTAGTTAACTCATAATTAAGCCATGACTTATAAAGACTTTGAATTGTTTCACTTCTCATATTTAGTGGCGAATCCTTATCACTTTGATCGTATCTATTATGCAACATATATGTCAGATAGAGAAGATTAAACGGATGGCGTGGCTTTGAAAACCCAGTATTTGTTGGAAGCCTACCAAAGGCCGTCTCTTTGAAATTATTCAAAATCAAATGCAACATGTGTAATCCACAGGGAATTCAGACACAATGACTTTGGGCTAATTGGTTAAATTTTGTTACAACACCTCCGACATGACCACTCATATAATTTGTATTATCTGAAAGAAAGGTAAGACACCGTGAAGTATCAAGTTTATATTTTATATAAGATTTAAAAAGAGCTTGACTAACTGTATCAGAATTGTACTGCCAAAGATCCTTTGTTTCTAAGAGTACGATGTCAGGTATATTTTTTTCAGAATTCCAAAACATAAAACATTCCATTAATATTTTTTTTTCACCACAACCCGATTCATCTGTCATGATTCCAAAAGCAAAATGAGTCGACCTATTGGCTTGCTGAAATGCATTCCTTACATTCAATTTTGATACTTCACGATGCCAATGACTAACAGTATTTACACTAAGCCATGACTCTGTGTTATCTCCTGTTAAAAAATTAAAAACAGTCTTGATACTTTCTGCTGCCGTATTGAAAGACATTTGACCGATTTGAGAAACTTGAACGGTAAGCTTAACAAAATCTGTATTGTATTCTTTTTTATTTTGTTTTATTAAATTTCTAATTACAGTTCTCAAATCATTGTCTTTTAATTCTGGTGGACGTTTGGTTACTGCACGAACCCGAGAGATGTGATGATGATGTTTATGCTTAAGCTGTATGACAGAACCATTAAGTTGCTGAACTTTATGGGTCATACGGTCTTTAGATTTTTGTAATTTTTTAATGCTTTTTTTAAGTTGTTTGTTTTGATTATTTAATAACTCATGGGAATTTC